CTAAGCCGGGCTGAGGGGGAGACAACATCGCGGTAGACAGACAGAGTAACTCCAGGTCTCAAACGTGTGACGGTGAAGAGCATAACCGCTACGCCACAGACGCCGGTATGCATATATCTCATCATTACAGCTCTCAACAAAAAAAGACGAACAGTTTAACAATCAAAACGGGATTAATTTGATTTCAATTTTTAAATGCAGAGCATCAAATTTTTGATTTCTTGGACTTAAAATTACAAGCTGCCGAGTTATGAAGCAGATTGGGTTACATCTCTCTCTCTCTCACCCTCTCCCTCTCTCTCTCTCTCTCTCTGTACTTGCATGACCTAATTGTATTTAAGTGCCTTAAAACATTAATTAATACTAAACTTATACTCTACCCAAAACTGTTTTATTCTTTGTCCACATTTCTGCTTATTAAAAAAAAAAAGGTTTCAGAGACCTATGTAGACTTTGGAGACAGCTATGATAAATAGACAGACCAGCATAAATATCCACTCAAAGAAATCTTTAAAAGAAAGTGAAATCTTTTAATAACTTTTCGGTCAGTTGCCGCAATAATGCGACGGCGAAAATTATCCATTCCTGTCTGACCCGAGAAGTCCGATGCAGTCACTCTTCTGGCTGAGTGACCAGATTGGGTATTTTGTACTGCTGGCTGGGTGACCAGATGGGGTATTTTGTACGTCTGGCTGTGTGACCAGATGGGGTATTTTGTACGTCTGGCTGTGTGACCAGATGGGGTATTTTGTACGTCTGGCTGTGTGACCAGATGGGGTATTTTGTACGTCTGGCTGTGTGACTGCAAAGGGTTAAGGTAGAACAAGAGAACCCCCCCCAAAACCAGGGTATTATAAGGAGCACTTTCCTCTTGGCTCATTTCTTCAATCAACTGTGAAACTGAGAAAAACAAGAAAGTATGGTCTTCGTGTAAACGTGCTTGAGAAACAAGGGAAATAACTCAGGGCCTCCTAGAACGCACAAACACAATCTCTACATACACCACGGAGGCTCCACTTTCTTTCTTCATAAAGAGTAGAAAAAGGTTAGATCAAAGAAGTGGCATTTCACTGAAGTTACTTTGAGTACCATGACGATGAAAAAGAAGAAATTGCTGTAATCTGGAAATAGCATAATGAGATCCACATCCAGAGTCAAAAGTCGACAACGACCTTGGGAAAAAAATTCAACTCTTCGTGGTGACTTTTGCTTTCATGAAACTCGTGAAATAAAGACACTTCGGATAAAAACCTTACAAAGCCTTTTGAGTCCCATTCAAGTTTTTTTCAGGAACTGAGATGAAGTATGGCAGGCACAAGATAAAAGAAGATTTTGAGGCATCAGCTCTAGGGTCATAGAACTCACAAACAAAGACGAGCATTTGATCAAGTGACACACATACTTTGTACTGTCCTCGGCCATAACAGAAATCAATCACATTGTTTGGTGGAAGGCTCATGGATTCTGTAAACATTAACAAATGTACAGGTCTACCTAACAAACAAAGGCATGTTCAGAGCACATCAAAAACACATTCTTAGCACATTCTCTCCTGTAAACCTAAAAATAGACGTGTAACGGAAGGCGTACAAAGGCCACACAGCTAGTCTTTTCCTCAGTGATTAAGGCTCCAAAATGGCAACAACAAATCCAATAAAATATGAACATCAAATGATCCGAACATAAACTACGAAACAACAAGATATGAACATCAAATGATCCGAACATAAACTACGAAACAACAAGATATGAACATCAAATGATCATAACATAAACTACGAAACAACAAAATATCATTCTCCGCATGACAATGTTCTCTCGTTCTCCCACCCACGTTCACTCGATGAAATCACAACCACACAAAACACTTGAGCCAGTCATAACAAAAGCTGAAGCAGAACATTACGTCACATTTCCCATCAAACAGACCAGCCCATCAAACAGACCACCCAAACATTTCCCATCAAACTGACCATCCAAACATTTCCCATCAAACAGACCACCCAAACATTTCCCATCAAACAGATCAGTCAAACATTTCCCATCAAACAGACCACCCAAACATTTCCCATCAAACAGATCAGTCAAACATTTCCCATCAAACTGACCATCCAAACATTTCCCATCAAACTGACGGGCCAAACATAAACTCTCAAACTACAAAATGAGCAAAAACAACTCAACGAGATACAAAACTCGGTCCAAAAAACAGTCGGTATAAATATGAAAGCAAAATAAAATATTGGAATGCAGTCAAACGAGTAAAGGCACACAGCACATGCAGATCATTTGTCATAGTACAGCATGTTTAATATAGTCATCGGTACATCAAACATGTTTAATATAGTCATCGGTACATCAAACATGTTTAATATAGTCATCGGTACATCCAACATGTTTAATATAGTCATCGGTACATCATACAAGTAATGCAACTATTAATAGATTACACAAACGTCCGCCATTAAGTTCCCTAGGAGCAATATAATAATAGTACTGATGTGGTATTTGTGACCAGATCAAATCCATGAAAAGCAAGTTAGTCATTTAATGTACTTAGAACAAAACCTAGATCACACATCCAATACTAACCCTCCCACCCACCCATCCACACCCACATATTCCTACCTGAAACCTCCTCAATTGCATATTTTAAAATAAATCTAAATGTTTTGGCAAAAAAGTTTGAACTGATTTCTTAGTACAAACTGGCAGACATAGGCGAGCCCAACATATCACTTGTGGAGGCTACAAAGTTGGAAATGATTTCTTAGTACAAACTGACAGACATAGGGCGAGCCCAACATATCACTTGTGGATGCTACAAAGTTGGAAATAAATATTTTGCAATATTCTAAACCTTAAAATAATCTCAACACGTCTTACTTCCTAAATGTATAGAATAACGACTAATTTCCATACTATTCCATACATCATATTCTACAACATCACACCCACATACCATGCATATTTTTAAAATTGTTGTTTACAACACGATATAGTTACAAAAATATCAAACACATAAAACGCTGAAGTATAAGCCCAAAAACCCTGTTCAGGCACAAGTATTAGAAAAGCACGAGAGAGTATTTGGAAAACCAGATTACACTTCACAAGAAAGATCAACAACAGTACACAAAACCATCAGGCCAATCACTGGAGAGGACATTTCCATCAATCGTTCAAAACCTGGAGCCCCGAGCAAGGAGCGGATAACCCTCATCAAGGTAAAAAAAGAAAAGAATCTTTCTTGGAAATCGACAGAAACAATATTGAGAGCCTGGCCAGGATCCCATGTGTTGGGCAGCTCACGGCGGGCTTCAGTTTGAGTAAGGTTTTACGGCGCTTGCAACAGCATACGGTCATATGAGCGCCAAGGGGTGGATGTCAACAGAGAAGTCCAAAAGGGGAATCAGACTTACTCTGCTTACCTCTCTAGCCTCAACAGCATTAAGTATGCTTCAACTATCAAGGCACCCTGGAAATAGCACTTCACAAGAGAGTGAGAAATATAAAAAAAAAGTAGAGGAAGAAATGACGATAGTAAGGATGAGGAAAGAAAAAGCAGCAGTTCCCCCTATGTTGTTCTGGCACAATATGAGCATGACATTGATAAATCAGCCTATTTACAATTCTACTGTGCATAAGAACAAGTTAATATCCCCCCCCTTTGGGAATGGCCTAAAGACACTTCAGTCAGTAGCACAGTCCTGGGGGAGGGGGGGGGGGTTGCACGGCGGGCGACATTGTGTGGAGGAGACTGACACACAGAGTAAACATAACTGGGCCCGGCACTTCTCTCAAAACGGCTCCCCGTGAAGGAAGGTGTCTCTGGTTGTTTCACCTTCTTACAGCAAAAACAAAGAAGCTAACCAAGAGGACTCGACTCAATGCCCAAGTGATTCACTCATAAATGTCACAAATAAAGCCTTTTTTTTCTCACGGCTGCCAAAAACCAGCAGAGAAATGTACTCTCTTCTATAACCCTCCAGCCCATTTAAGTCATTTGGTCATCCATTTTCAACTAAAATCTGCATGAAAAAGCATATCCAGTGTTTTTTTCAAGTAAAGGATTGCCAGGACTGCTGGACTCCCCCCCCCCCCCAAATAAAGCCAAATAAATATGATAACTTTGGTACCTTTTTCTAGACAGTGTATGAAGCTTTCACCTGCCAGATATTTTGGAACTATAGATTATAATCAGGTGCAAAAGATAATGACATTTCACTGACATAACATAATTTATCTTCAATCAATTTTTACAGCCCATTGCAATCTTCTTTTAAATAAATACCACCAAAAAAACAAGTCATTGAGCCAGATGAACGTGTATACGTATAACATAGTGTATATATAATGCAACACTTGGTCCACAAGACCAGTTATGCCAGTGTGAGTCAACCTTTTTATGGCCAGCGCATATTTTGGCCACCTTTGAGGGGTTGAAATATTTGTCCTTCCCACCCACACTCATCTTTTCCCAAGCGGCGTATTAAACAACACCCGTCGCTTCTCGAGCAATCCCCACCGCCCACCACCATTATCAAATCACCCACTAGTGGATGACATTGCCCAGATTGGCAGGTATTTCTCTAAACCATGTGCAAGTCCCCAGGTTTTTTCACCACAGGTCCAGAGGACACATCTGATAATGCTATAGCTCATCGTGAGAGGGGGAAAAAAGAGTGCAGGAAAGTAAGGGTTATTGGGTCCGTGCAAGAGGCTTCCCAGGTGACATACAAAAGTCTACCAGTAAAGAGACCAAATTGTCAGCAAGCCGTTCACTTGTTTTAAGCCCACAAAGAAAATTTTTTTCAGGAGAGAGAAAAAACAAATTGTTTCATTCTTTTAAAAATTGTACCTAAATTGAGTGTGTGTGTGCGTGTGTATGTGTGTATGTCCATGTGTGTGTGTGTATGTATGTATGTTTGTATGCGGTGAGACACCAAACCAATGTGCCAGGATCTGGACAATGAAGCTGTGTCTTATCTTAGCTTATCTTTTTTCCTAAATTTTTTCAGCGTTTAGAAATTGAATTTCAACACAATATTTCTTGAGCATGTGCAACCAATACCACTGATTATTTAGTTAGTTTTAGTAAGGTTTTACGGCGCTCGCAACTGCACAATACCTCAGATTAAGACACAAAAACTTTTTTAAAATGTCTAAATGTTGGGCTTAACACACGTGAACAGCTGGCGGAGATCAGAAGCAGCTGTAAGTATCACAGTCTCAAGAGAGGAGAGAGAGAGAGAGGGCTTAGATGAAGTGTTTTTTAGTTTTAGTAAGAGTTTTACGGCACTTGCAACACAATAAGGTCACATAAGTGCCGAAGATTAGAGGTGTTACAAGAGAGTAACAAACACAAAAAAGGAGGGGGAGATAAAGACGATAGATGTTTGATGGGAAAGAAGAAGAAGAAAACCACACCAGAGCACCCGCCAAACCACCCACTTAGATGAAGGCGGAGTACGTGGAGTTGGTCTTGAGCTTGACCTCCATGTTCTCGCAGAAGTCGGCCGTGAACGGGATGCAGTTGAGGTAGACGCACCAGTCGCACTCAGACAGCAGCGAGAGGTAGAAGAGGATGATGAGCAGCGTGAACAGCCCCACGGCCATCCCCAGCGACACAAGGATGGTCACGACACGCCGCGTGATGTTGAACTTTCCGAACGACACGTACGGCATGAGGGCGAAGGCCAGCAGGAAGCCGAACAGGAAGCCGAACATATGGGCCCAGTTGTCAAACCAGGGCAGGAGGCCGAGGAGGAAGAAAAAGAGCAGCGGTACGATGAGCTTGACCAAGGCCAGGGCCGGGCTGCGGTACATCTTGCGGTTCTGGATCACCTCCACCAGCAGACACGCCACGATGCCGAACTGGGAGCCGGACG